AAAAAAAAAAAAAAAAAAAAAACACATCATAGTAAAACCAATACCTTCTCAGCTTCGCATCGAAGCTAAAAAAAATTGTGGAACAACGATTAATAATTATAATATAATAAAAAAAATTTAACTAAAATACAAGTATTAATTCAAGTATTCTATAGCTTGTTAAGTTAGTAATTTTAAGATGCTCAAAATAACTAAATAAAAAAAATCACCAACTGCACAAACAATGTTCAAATGGGAATTAATAAATTATTGTCAATTTAACGCATTTATTGTAATAATATATGTGATAAATCTTACCATACTTTCATACTGTTTTATTTTGCTATTTACGTTTTTTCAGATTATATCAAATAACTTAATTAATTGACAATTTTATAAAAAAAATTTAAGCCCTATCTAGATTATTTAACAGGACAAAAGAAACACTCTAACGTCATTTTTTATATTTTAAACAAATATGATATTGTAGACAAAATACATTAAATGAGTTGGGTTGGCGTTAAAATTTGCTAAAAGTTTGCCCTGAAAATATTTATATTTAATATTTGAATCTATATTTTTATTTACCAACACCTTCTAAATAACTATTCTGTTCGATCTAAACTGTAAGCAAAAATAACTAAAACATAATTGAAGAAAAAATTATAATATGAAAAAAAACAATTTGTTGATTTGTTGGAACAAAGTTGGAACAAGTATAGATGATATCTGACATTGAATACAATTACTGTTATAAGAAACACTTCAATGCAAATACGTAGATAGTGTTCAATTTTAAGAAATTGGTGGATTATTTCTAATGCAAAATTAACTCCTATTTTTTGTTCAACTTCAATTGCCATTTACACATAAAACATAGGTTTTTTTAACTTTTCGTTAAGTTTGTAATATAAGTTTTAACTTCTAGGGCTGCTTACGTATAGAAGATAAGTTTTCAGAACATATTTTTTTTAGTTATAGTACGTAACATAAGCTTTATTTTAACATATTTTTGAAGCTCAGATTTTTTCCGAAAAAAATGCAAATGCTCACTAGAAAAAGTTCTATTTTTTACTCAAATATTTCAAGTTTCGAACGCCGTCAGTATAAGAAAAAATTATTTGCTTGAAAAAGTATCTTCTTCTTCTTATTTCTGACCTTAATCTCAAATAATTGGGGTTGGCCACCCTTATCTTAAATTTCCACTTGACAGGATCACCTACATCATCTACGCTATTATCAGCCGTCTTCAAATCGTATTGAATTATTTCACGTACCTTAAGTTTTATTTTAACATATGTTTGAAGTTCAGAATATTTTCGAATTAATTTCAAAACTTAAGTGAAACAAGTTAAATTTTTGTGCAAAATTAACAATTTTGAATCCTTCCTGTGGGCAAGCAGAGTGAAATTTTCAAATACTTAAGGTATTTAAATAAATAATTATTTTAATTTGTTCATTTTTCAAAATATTATGGTAGTTTTAAGAAAAAAAGTTTTATAAATGATGAAATTTATCAATATTAAAAATAATATTTTTTTTGAGGATTTCCACAATTCATGGGGAACGATGTGAATAGATTTAATTTTTGAGGTCAAATGTCATCGACTACAAAAATATTTGATCTTTTGACGCATTATTGAGAAAAGTCGGTTTTGTGTAAGCTGAGAAAATGTAGTAACAGACACAATAAAAAATAATAATAAACACAAAAAAATAAAATTAATATTCTCTCTGCTTCGCACCAAAGCTAAAAAAAATTCAGTCTTGTATACAGGATGATCGAAATCTGGTAAGACACTTATTTTCTCAGAAACTATTGAAAATTTAAAATTTTTGTAAAAAGAAAAATTATTAAGTTTATAAAACTCTACAATAATATGAAGTTAAATAAATTTTTTTTTATCCTTTTAGGGATAAAAATGTTTATTTATAATTTTTTTAAAATGGAACCACTATTTTTGATTTGATAATATGATAAAAAAAAAAATTACAAACAATTTTGTTCTTGTAATTTTTTTTTATCCGAACAACCGGTTACGTTTTATAATTGTTTATAGATTTTGACTTCCAGAAAAAATATTGTCATTTATTACGTTTCATAATATCGGTGACAGTGCAACCGGTATTTTTGTTAGATCCTTTAGTCTTACAAAACCATAGACTTAGCTATTAATAATACACCGAAAACCCGATTTGAATTTATTATTGTTATCACTCATTCAGTGTGTAGTAAATTTTTATAGCTAATTTACCTGTCATAACTTGATCAATAAAATTTTGTTTATGCAACAGCAAATAAAAATAACTACTTTTGTATTTAATACAGTAAAATAACAATAGAAATTTGGCCTAAAATCACTTAACTTTAACAAGCTGTAACGAACGAACGGATAATCGGATAATAAAAATTATAAGAAAAAAATTGTTTGTAATTTTTTTTTCTATCATATTATAAAGTTAAAAATAAGGGTTCCCATTTAAAAAAATTATAAATAAGGGTTTTTATCCTTGAAGGGACGAAAAAAATATTGGTTTGACTACATATTATTGTAGAGTTTTTTGAACTTGATATTTTTTCTGTATATTAAAATTTAAAATTCTCAATATTTTTTGAGAAAATGAGTGTCTTACCAGATTTCGATCACTCTATATATTTAAAATTAATAAAAATATAACAAAATTAATAATGTATTTTACTAAATAACAAGAATAGGTTTAAATTATAGAATTGTATTCATTTTTTTCATCTATTGGCACATCATCAATATTGCAGTCATTTAATTTAATTTGAAATGATTTTTTTTGTTTTAATTATGCTATTAATTTTTTTCATTAGTTTAATCAACTTTTTTTTAGTGATTTGTTTTTCTACAGTCTTAGTTGAATAAAATACATACAACTTAATAGGGATACTGAATAGTTATTGCAACTGATATAACTATTATCCAATTTTCTAGTGCAAATATGTCTCAATGAATTTTTTTTTGATTTTCTACTAAACCAAAATCCTGGTCGTAATGTATAGAATGTCCACTTTCTAAAAATGTATGATCTATTTCTTCACCCATATATGATGGATTTGATATAATATATTTACAAAGAGAAATCATTTTAATATTTCTGTTTCGCCCTCTACATTGATTGTAGTACATGACTTATTTAGAAGAAGTTTTATTAATTTTATATTTGAGTAGTCCCTCCTCCTAGATATTTTTAAGCGACGTGGAGGATTAAAAAGAATTTTTGGGGAGAATAGGGTGTGACGTTCACCGATAACTAACCGTGAGGTTATCACCGATGAAGCACATAAACCCAAACGAAGTTGGATTCACCACTAGCCGAGGCTCTACCAGACCGGAGCATAGTGGAATTTTATTATATAACTGACACATTTGTTGTTTAATTTACTAAGTTTTTACCTTAACTCTAGGGGAAAAGGAATTAAAAACTGGTAGACGAGTAGTATAGGCGATGATGTTCTATTTTATATACTGAGTTTAACTGAAATAATAATGCCCAAAGTACAATAAAATAAATGTCAGTTACAAATGTTCAAAGTCAAATAAAATTACAAATTCTTTTATATAACATATTTCAAGTCATAGTTAAAATTATTACAAAT